AGCATCATATTTGCTGATTTTCATTATTTACATTACGCGGACCTCATCTTCATTGCCATATTCATAACGTTTCGGCCGTTGTACGCTCCGGCCTTCTTCAGACGATTGGTATTTCAAACCGAACACTTTATTGTTCTAGTACCACGTCCAATGGCTCTTCTGTATATCTCATTTATTTCTCTTTCTCAACTCATCAAGTTTTGGTTCACCATTGCTGTGGCCTGGTATTGAACTCACAAGTCTTTGGGTCTAGTCACTGGATCTAACCAACGTCTTTATCCACTGTGCCATGTGCTTCTGTTGATGAATTTTTGACCAACAGGACGAAAGCTTCTGCACCAATAGGATCCAAGCATTGCAACACCTATATATGTGGGACTATGTTGAAAAATGAACCTGATTTGATTTACATTCCATCAGAGTATCTTGGTCAGCCTATGAACTTTTCAACCGATGCTCATATATTTTTTTAAATTTCTTACATCAAATTACTATTTGCGACTTTTATTTTAACATGACTTCTTACATACAACCCTCGCTGATTTGTTCAAAGATATTTATTTTATTCACAATTATTTTTTTAATTTTTTTTCTCTGTGGGGTCATGTTGAGATGATAGACAAGGAACACCATTGGAAAATTCGTAAACTTAAGGAATCAGCACATATGCTAGGCCACAAAAATCTCCTGAGCCGACCAAGCATAGAAAAAATTACAATATGGGGACCAGTAATAAGGAGTGTCAGAGAAAAGCAATGATAACAAAGTTGCAATATGAGCTCTGGTAAAAACATGCAAGGATAACAGTAAAATTGCAATATGAGCACTGGTAAAAATGGTTGCTGAAGACATTAGGTTTATATTACCCAGAAATTCATACCCAGATGTCCTCAAGAACACATGGCACAGTGGATAAAGGCGTTGGTTAGATCCAGTGATAGGACCCAAAGCGTGTGAGTTCAATACCCGGTTAAGGCAGTGGAGAACTTTCAGATGGAAATTAGCAGGAGATAACTGACATCCATCAAAACAAGGAACTAGAACAGTCTACCCCAGTGGTCGAAATAAAGGGTTCAGTTCGAAATTCCTACCACCTGAAGAAGTCCTGGCCGAAACGTTGTGATAAATATGGCGACAAAGATGAGGACAATAGTCCAAATAATGCATTTTTTTGTTTTATTTTATGAACTGTTCATATTTTAAACAATTTTCAAAATAACCACAACGTTTATAAATAGCATGGAAGTCATGTTAACGGTTTTTTCCTGAACTTATTCATTTTGTCCTGATGATGTTCTTATTGAAGGAAACGTTGGCAACAGAATAAAAAAATTAAGCATCCAAATGGTTTTCTGAAAAGAATTCTTAATAAACTTTGTAATTATGACGACATGATGTGTATGGAGGATTGATTGGTGATGGACGAGTTTTTGTGGTGAATGGACAAATTGTAATGAGTGAATGGGTCGTGAATCAGATTAGCTAGGTATAAGATAGTTAGTGACGACCAGCCTCAACCCCCTCCCTTTGATCGGCATTGTGCCATAATTGTATTTATTGCAATAAATCTCGTTAAAAATCCTCCTAAGAAGTAAAAGACACAAAACAAAAAAGTAATGAAAAAATTGCAAATTATCAAAAAATCAATATAAATAATAATTTTACTTTTTCTTTTATATGTCGTGTCCATTTGAAACGCTAATGGCTCTCCACTACTTCCTATCCCCTGTAGCTCTAAGCAATATTTGTCCCTCACTATCCTTACCATTCCTTATTCTGCCATCTGTTTGCATAAACTCATTAGGTAGGTTACTCGCTGTTCCCCTCTGCACCACTTACCTTCAATATGTCTTGTGAGTGTAAAAGTCTCCAAGCCATCTTTCCTCATTATGCGTCCAAGAAGTTTTGACTCTCTCTGGTTGTAAGTACAAGTTTCTTTTAAGTTTCTATTTTCCTTCAAAGAGAGGAGAAAAATAGAAAACACAAACTATTGAATATTATTAGGATGTCACATTTTTATAGGAAATGAATAAAACACTTCTGAAATGTTAAATAACTAATTTATTTAGTTGAAATATGGATCATGTGATGAATGTCTGTTTTTCAATGTATCTCTAAATTCTTGATCCCGTCTTTAAATTTTCATCCATTGATGCGATAAACAATTCAAATGCTTCAATGACATCTTCCTTACTGAGGAATGTTTTATTGCGTATGAAAAGCACAGATATTTAAATAAGTGATAATTAATAAGAAAGATATCAGGTGAACGTGGAGAACGAAGCAAAAGTTCATAATTCTGGCTATACAGCTTCTGGACAGTTGATTGAGAAGCGTGCAACTGCGTTGTCGTGCAATAAAATCGTCTCATCGCCATTCACAAGTCTATGATTTTTTTTTGTAAATTTTCCGTGCGTACACTCAGTTTCTCTACAATACGAGATTACATTATTTACATTATTCGGACTATTGTCCTTATCTTTGTCGCCATATTTATCACAACGTTTCGGCCGTTGTACGCTCCGGCCTTCTTCAGGTGGTTGGAATGTCGAACTGAACCCTTTATTTCGCTCACTGGGGTAGACTGTTCCAGTTCCACGTGCCATGTTTGATGGATGTCAGTTATCAGTTATCTCCTGTTAATTCTCCCTCTGAAAGTTCTCCACTGCCTTAACCGGGTATTGAACTCACACTCTTTGGGTCCTGTCACTGGATCTAACCAACGCCTTTATCAACTGTGCCATGTGTTCTTGAGGACAACCACCTGAAGAAGGCCGGAGCGTACAACGGCCGAAACGTTGTGATAAATATGGCGACAAAGATGAGTACAATAGTCCGAATAATGTAAATAATGTACATAATACCTCATCTCAGAAATATAGACAGACCCAATACGAGGTTAGTTTTAATGTTTTCTATTGAAGAAAGAATGAATAGTGAATAACCCCTTTGAAAGACCACCATACAGTAACCATTATCTTTTTAGGGTGTAGTGGAGGTTTTGGATATTGTTTTGGTGATTCACTTGCAAGTAACCACTGGCCCACTCTTTTATTGCTGTCAAAGAGCATTAATTTCTCATCGCATGTAAAATGTTTCTTTTCTCCAGTTTGTTCTCATACAATAAGATTACTCGACATTGTTTCATTGTAATCATTTTCATTGGGATTATGAGTGACAATAATACACCATACACCATCATGACGTCATAATTACAAAGTTTATTAAGAACACTTTTCAGATGGAATATGTGAAAAGCAGTTGGATGCTTAATTTTTTATTCTGTTGCCAACGTTTCCTTCAATAGGAACATCATCAGAACAAAGTGAATAAGTTCAGGAAAAAAACCGTTAACATGACTTCCATGCTATTTATAAACGTTGAGGTTAAGAAAAATTATTTGGAAAGAAAAATCAAGAATAAGTCAAGATATTTTATATATTAGGTTGGTGCAAAAATAATGTCGTTTTTTGACGTTCAACTTAACGCCAAAAAACGACATTATTTTTGCCCCAACCAAATACTAAGGTGGCTACCTCGTTAGACGACCAAATCATTAACCAACCAAACAACGCGCCATTTCATGTACGACAACCTTTTAGTTTGCAAGGGAACTGCAAGTCGGAATAAAAATGAATATATTTTACAACCAAAAGAGAAAAAAAATAACAATATTTGAAAAAGGCCGATTGTTGATTGATTTATTTGTTTTTGTTTTTACGGCTTATTAACTTTTTGCGGGTTATTTAAGACTAACACATATTTTGGAGTGCTAGAATAATTTTATTTTGGCGAATTGCATTGGCAATTATTTGATAGTCAATGATTTTCCAAATGCAACTCCTACTGCTTAACCCATAGAGAGGAAACGGATTCATACCTTTCCCAAGGGTATTTGCGTGTAAGTGAATGTAACAAACATCGATTGGAATTCGAACTCGGCTCTCCGATTTCTCTTTCCTAGCCACTAAAAAAAGTCCGAACATACGACTGAATCTAGAAATACGTGAAGAACATATTAAAAAAAATGACTGGCAGCCTGGTTTGGTTTTTGTTTGACGGCATGTTGATCTTTAATGCCGAATTTTGTTGTTTTGATAGAAAAAATAGAAAGGAGACAGCGGTTTGATTGCACAAACAAAGGTAGACATGTCCACTTAGCACGAGGATCAAAACAGGTAGGCAGAGGCCCAGTTTACACGTGTTTCAAAACAGACTGAATCAGGTCTGGATTCCACGTGAGTCAAAAAAGCTAGACATAAGTGCAGTAACCAGGTGGCTACATTAGGGTGGGTTTACCTCCTCGATACAGTAATGCAATCTGCGTATTCTTGAAGCCCACCGGCAGATAAAAGAAAGAGCGAACGGATGAAAGTTTGAAAGAATCAAATTTAGGAGGAGACAGAATGTAAAAAGACTGATTTAAATAAATATAGTGAAAGAAAATGTGTATTAGGAAAATTCCTGTCAAATATCTTCTAACGATTCAAACATCTGCCCAACGGAAGGAACACCCACTGGCGAGGTTTCACTAATTAGCTTGTTGAATAGGTATGAAGAAAACATTTACATTTCATATCTGAATGCAACATTAGCGACACCGAATTAGATTATCTTTTATGGGCAAAAGATATTTTGTTTACTTTACCAATATCTAAAGACAAAATCGCTTCACCTCGTAAAAAGAATTGTAAACTGACTTTGGTGTATCGTGAAATTCTTCTGGTGATTAGTCGTTTAATACTTTTTTCCACCCGAAAGATAAAAATATCAGCATTCTTAATACATTATCGGATTGATTGATTTGTTTTATTACGGATTATCTACCCATTGCAGGTCATTTAAAGCCAGATTTTTTTAGGATTGTAAGAATATTTTGAAGATAATAATGATTTACCTATAAAATAATAATAATGAACCTAATAGCCGGAGGGAGAATAGGTGAATTCATACCTTTCCCGTTTTCCAATTTCAAGTCGTTATCTATTACACATCTAATCTTACAGCACCTGGTGTTCCTAAGCTGTCACTCAGCTCGGTACTGAGCAGGCTTGACATTGCTTAACGTTGGTGGTCGTACGAAAACCGGTGTTTCAACGTGATTTGAACGTTAGCGTTAATGCATTCTCATTCAATTTTGTAAATAATTCCTGTACAGCTCTTAAACATATTATGAGGAAGGACGGTTTGGAGAATTTAATATCCACAGGACCTATTGATAGAATTAAGGGCAGAGAGGTAAGATTAGGCAACAAAGACTAATGAGTATCTGATTGGATGACAGACAAGGGATTCAAAGATGTTAAAGCTGCTTAGAGTTGCAAGTGACAAGTATTTGCGGAAATCCAGAAACGAATGATGATGACTGAGTTTTTTTTAATTAACCCCAGGCAAGTCAATAAAGGACGCAAGATGGCACTGAGTGTAAGAGAATATGAAAAAAAATATTATCAAGGACAATAAAAGAACAAGAATTAAGAAAAAAAGTTGATAACGAATGACATTAGATTTAAATTTCTGAAAATCGAAGTTGACTGTGAAGCAAAAAGCCGGAAGAGAGTTCCACAAGGGAGGAGTGTGATAGAAGAAACTGTTAGCATAGAACTTACGGTTACATTTAGCCATTTTAACTCTAAATTGATTAGATCTTGTTGCATATCTAGAACTGAGCTCAAATTCATAAAATCTAGGTACCATGAAAGTATTTCTAGAGAAGGTGAGAGAAGAAACTGTTAGCATTGAACTTACAATTACATCTAACCATTTCAACCATAAAATGATGAGACCTTGCTGCCAATCTAGTACTGCACTTAAATTCATAAAGTCTAAGTACCATAGAGGAAAGTTCATCAGAACAATTACCATGAAAGTCTTTATAGTCAAGGTACAGAGAAGCTACACTATGACAGTAGGAAGCGATTGAAACTGAGTTACGTTTTGGCGGAAGTTTGGTTCTTCCTCAATTGTCCGAATTTATTTGGAAAAAATATTAGAGTTCCAGGATATTTTCCGAGGAATTTTATACTATTTTAATTTCTTATTTCCATAATTTTCTCATTTTACATATTGTTGTATTTTCTACCCGGAGATGTCTTATTCAATTGAGTTTATAATTATTTAAAAATTTTTTATACTTTAATGATTTTATTCACTTTTCTTCTTCTAATTTTGCCTCCCCCCAACACACACAAAAAAGAAAACATTTTTCGACCAGATTATATAGAGAAGACTAGGAAACCAACCCGCTTATGGGAGCTCGATTGAAAGAAAGATTTATTCTCACATTTGTATTTCCCCCATTATGGTCATTATTATGTCGACGATATAATAGCACTGTATTTAACAGACGAAACGGAATGACTGAAAGAAAAAGGAATAACAAACGTTTGTTGTCAGAGAGATTTTTATAGAACTAGGACATACATAAAACTATATATATATATACATATTTACACATCTCCTATGCAGAGAAAAGCATAACACTTATCTACATAGCAAGCAAAGTGAAAGGAGAGTAAAAAGATAGTCTTACATATAATATGGAAATTCTTCTGTGTTTCTGGGGAAGTCATGTCTAGGACTCCAGATTCAAGAGAGCCGAATTCATCTACTATCCCAAGCGAGGACATATTCAACGAACTGGAAATGGCGAGTGTTGGGTTTTTCCAAATTGAGGACTGCGAGCCAGAGATTATTTTTATATATGGGGAAGATATATTCTCAAAGAGAAACGGTGCCATGTGCTTATAAGACATTTGTTGGTAGGGGTAGATTTAGAGTCAGCTCGGGCAATTTGGTCCAGGTTAAAAAAAGCAAACGCTCGGTTTAGCTGCTGCAAACCGACTGAAAGACAGACCACTTTCGTCACTATTCTTCATACAGTGACAAAAGTGGTCTGTCTTTCTGATGCCGTTAAGAGGCCGTGACGCGACTCATGTGACTTATTTCAAACAAAGGGAGATAATTGTTTTTGTATCCCTACACACCGATCCAAAGAACTTGAATAAAAGGGAAAAGAAGAAAAGAAAAAAAGATTAAAAAAATGACCTTTTTTAAGTTTAACTAAGCAAAAACTTATAAAAAATTGTTTATTTGTGTATAGTGGGAGGGGGATTCTATTTTTCTGTATTTGTTTGGGATGACAATCACGCATACATAGACACACATACATACAGGTGCATGCATGTTAGTTTATACATACACACCCATACACATAATCTTGGATAAGGCGCAGTTACACTTTCGTGTGCATGAGTGCATGTATGTACGCAATTTTCATTCTGTCTATTTCGGTGACAAGATTGTAGCGTTTCATAAATGTTGCAATGTTATCTTAGTAGGAGACAGGTGGGGGCGGCTTTTGCATTTTTCAGATCGGCTGTTTGCGCCGTCAGACATGCTCACATGCACTCACACATATATGTAGACGCACATCCACACTCATTGATTTAGGTCAACTACTACAGCGTGTGTTAAGTTGGGTTCTGTCTATAGACATGGCGATGATTGTATTTTTGTAATAACAACTGCAGCCGTGTTATTAACGATTGTAATTATGTTAAGGATAATAATAGCTGTGATATTATTATTGATATATTGATAATAATTGATATGTTATTAGTTATGATGAACGGTTATGTTACCACTAATAATGATGGTAACAATAATAATAAACTATATATATAAAACAGAGGATGTCTGTGTCTGTCTGTCTGTCTGTGTGATACCTTTTCATTCGAGATCCGTTCAACCGATTTTAAGCAAATTTGTCACATACATTGTACAATGTAAGAGATAGGTTCTTAGCGTAAAACATAGCTAAGTTTTAAAAATTATCATTAATCGATAAAGCCGATAAAATTATCGATAAATTCACCTTTTTCCTATGATTTTGTTCAAACTCGGTATGTATGCAGGTTACTTACATCATGACGATTTCAATGATATCTCATTTTTTATTCCTACGTCACTGCATTTAGCGAAAAACCGCGAAAAAAGAAAAATCGATTTCAACACAAATCGATTTCAAAACAAATTTTAAAATAAAAACTCTCTTAATTTTCAAGCAATCCAATACAAACTTCACTCAGTTGTAACCAACAATAAGTTGATTGTTTAAGTCATTTAATAGTCATTTAACTTGATAATTGAGTCTACCCATATAGTAAAAAGCCGTGTAAATAGCGAAAAATGGTGATTTTTATTGGTTTCTTTCTTATTTTTCGTTGATCTTGTAACCAAATTTCATCAAACTTAGCAGTTGCTTTATAAATGTGTCCTCTTTTACAACCTGGCAGCACACATTGAATTTCAAGAACTCCAAAATAATTGTGGTCTGAAGTGGGTCTTCATGTTGGCTGTTTTACCCCTTCACGTCCTCGACTAATATATACAGACTACTTCTGTTATATCAGTAACTGCATTAATTCAAAACGTTTTATTAATGAAAGTACTTTAAAGTAATTGAAGAAGATAGACTTTTACATCTAAACCTGATGCTGTTTTTGCTCCATTCTAAGTGAACGATTTTTCTGATTGGTGGGTAGTGATAACAATAATAATAATAATAATAATAATAATAATAATAGTGATAACAACACTTAAAAACATTAATAAATAATAAAAATAATAATGATAAATATAATAATAATAATTGTGGTAATAATAATAATAAGGACAAGGATAAAAACAGTATTAATAGTGGTAGTGATGGTCATAAGTAATGGTTCTAAAAGTGGTAACAACAATACTAATTGTGATAGTAATGGTAGTAGTCATAAAATGTTAATTTTGGAGTGTTAATGGTTATATCCGTCGTGTTGGCGATGTTAATTGTTATGTCGGTGGTTGTGTTTGTTGAGGGTGGGGTGGTAATGTTGGTAACAGTGCTGGTAATGTTATTGACTCCTGTTGGTGGTTATGTCTTGGTGGTTTTAATGTTCTGGTGGTTTAGTGTTCTACAATTTTTTCGGTAGATTCGTTCCCGTTTGTGTTCATTTTTTTATTTTTGGTGTTATCCATTTGATTTGAACTGTGATAATAGACATTTGTTTTTGTGTGTAAATTTTGAGATTATTTAAGATCTTTGAGTTTGTAATGTTTTTTTTATGTATTTGGATAGTGTGATTATTAGACAATGAGATGTTTTGCGTGTATTAACTTTGTTTGAATGTTCCTTCTGTGGCGCTAATATAGTGAATTGTAGTGTTGTTTGCATTGATCTTGGCTTTGTACACTATGTTTGTTTGTAGGCAGTTTCCTTGTAGTGGGCACGTGGTTTTGTTTCTGCAGGTGCATTGGGAGTCTTTGTTTGCCTTATTGTAGTTTTTTGTTGTTTTTTTTTTGTTATTTGCATTATGTTCTTAGTGCAGCAGTAGTTACCTTTTACGTTATTCTTGTTAAATATTTTTGCTCGAGAAATGTTTTTGTATTAGATTTAGCAATGTTCTGCTGATGTTTGTTCTAACGGTGTATGGTGGGTTAAAGAATATTATATTTATTTTTCTGTTATTCCGTTTTGGTTGTGGTGATGTGTATTCCAGCTGTTGTGTATATCTACTTTTTGTGACTTGTTATATGGTGTTTTTTGTCGTTGAAAATATCTATGTTTGATGTGTTGTCTCATAGCCCGCGGCTGATCGATTTAGGTATGTCCTTGAAAATTGAGGGGGAATGATTGGAGGATGTGTGTATGCATGTGGGAGTGTCATTATCCTTTTTGGTATAGTTTGTAAGTTTCTTTATCTAGGTTGAAGGTAACGTCTAAGGTTACTGTTCTTTTAGAGTATATTATATATATATATATATATATATATATATATATATATATATATATATATATATATATATATATATATATATATATATATAGGCAATATGGAGTAATAGATAATAGATAGCGACTTGGATTGAGGAATCGCAGAGCTGAGTTCGAATTCCAGTCGAATTCATTAAATTCACTTACGTGCTAATATACGTGCTAATACTCTTGGGAAAGGTACGAATCCTCTTCCTCTCCCTCCACCTATGGGTAAAACAGCAGGACAGACTGGGTTCTATAGCCTTGGATGGCAACTGGTCTAGGAGAAGGACAACTCTGAATTCAAAAGC